TTGTTAGAATAAAGGCAAAGTTGTAATAAAAAATTATATTAAATTTAAATAATGTTTCTTTTTTTTTTTTTAGTTCCATCTCATAAAAATTCAATCATGAAATAGGTACTTTTAAAACACTTACTAAGTTTTCAATTAAAAATTAATTCAAGTAATTTACTAAATTTAGTATGCAATACTTAAAAATGGCGAGTAAACCTACCTAACCTATATTGTGTTTCAACTTTCAGTACATCTTTTAATTAATTTTATACACATTATAAATATCAAATTTCTTCTTTAATTATTTTAGTTACCTACCGAAGATGTAATAAGTTTATTGCATAACTGTATTATTAGTGAATAATAAAATATGATGTAATGTATATCTATTTTAGTATAATATAATGCGTTGGTTTTTATATTTGTTTCAGACATATCGTGGAGGTATTTCTACGGTTTTATTGAACTTTAAAACTTAGAATTAACGACAATCGATTTCATTTCTGCAAATATATCACAAAGCCACTAAAGATTCAATGGAACAAAACTGCCAAAGCTGATTTCCTCTTTCTTCCTCTGAAATCTCTAAACTTTATAACAATATATACCTTAGTAGTGTATGACAATAGGTATTTGTACTCTTATAGGATTTGCTGATGGTGTATTGTAGAAAATGAAAAAAAAAATGTTTTACGTAAAACACTTACCTATATACTAAATACTTATATACATATAACATGATCGATAGATTGTTTGCATAGTTTTCAGTGAGGTTAATTTTTATAATCAAATATGACCACTTAATAAGTACAGAAAATGCGTTTTTGTGAAGAAATTTTATCACACGGAAACTTATTCAAACGAGTCGGTAAAATACCATTTGGAAACTATCAAATGAAAAGTTCAATAAAATAACGTATAATGTGGTAGTAATGAGTCTGTATAAAATAACTGAGATTCCTGCGCATTTTATGGGTTGGTTGAAATGCTTAAATACGTAACATATTTTAAGCCGGCATATAATATAACAACACATATTTGTATTAGATAAAATTTATTTACAATCTGAGCAGGAATTAATTGTAGTTAAACGTTAAATATATAACATCTGAATTTTGTTATAATGTTTACAATAGATCATTATTTATTGTACAAGGCATATATTATTATAACCAACATTTATTGATTAAATACGTGAATGTGTGATTTAGGATAAGGAAAAGGTTTAGATAATTAAATTTAAAAATTACTTATACCAAAAAATAAAAATAATAAACCTAGAAATTAAAAACTCAACACATAATTTTTAAGTATATACTTAAAATATAACTTGCTGTAAGTTCTAAATATTTGTCTTTTATTTGCGTTCTATATGGAAAGTATGAGATTCGGAAAAAAGTGTTAAATTATAAATCAGTGTAGGTATGTACATTATATACGAAATTTGATTTTCGTTTAGCTCCACTCGTCATAATTTATTGTTTTGGTAGGTTTTATATGAACTATTATTAAATTTATTTTTAAAATTATTCAAATGCATTTTTATGGTATTATTTTGGTAGTCATTTTTCTTAAACTTTGTGTAAAGTATAATTAAATTACAAAAATTAGTCGGCTTCAATACATTTTTGTCAAACACAATAAAGAATTAACGTTAATAGTTTTTTTTAGAAAACATTCCTTAAACGTTTTGTATATTATATCATTTACATTATTTTTAATAAAAAAAGACTTGAAACAAACTCTGTTTTAATATGTTTTTATTACTGTAGACAAGTTTTCTTAATGTTTAGCGAAGTATAAGACTTAATCATATAATCAAACCTTCAATAGTTAAATATAAACTATACTAAAAAGTTTTTTTTCCGAAATAAAAAATAAATCTTTTTAAAACAAATTTATTTTCAGAATATAAAATAGTACAAAAATAAATGCTCAACAATTTATGCGTATAAGGGGTAACATTTAAAAAAAATTATTATTTACGTTATATTTTGATAGGATGATAAAAATAAAGTAATTCGTTATGATTTTTTTTTTCTATATTTTTAGTTATATTAATTATAACACACGTCATATGAAAATTAAATATCCTTTAGGTACTGAATAAAAAATCATACACAAATTGTAATCTCCACTTCGAAGTTTGGACACAATGTATACGATTTATTACTAACAAATTATAATATGATTGCAAATTACAACAATAACTTAAATGGGTATTTTTATGTTGTAGATAATATATCAATATCAATAAATAGTAATTAACTATAGCATTATATAATATTTAATGTGAACAATTTTCTTTTAAATCGAGATTTCATTAAGGTATTTACAGAAAATTTGAATAAAGTAATAATTTATCTAATCATAATATTAATCAAAAGATATATTGTTTTATACATATTTAAATTTTATGTAAATTGGTAAAATGGATTGGACAATACATTTTTCTTGAATAATAATTACTTTTACTAAAATCTATAATGTATATAATTTATTTTCAAAACGTGTAATAAGAAATATTACCACGTTTTTAACGGTTTTATTTTAAAAATCAACTTATAAATTTTAGGCAATTTAATTTTGTTAAAAAGTTTGTCAAAATAATTTATATCTATTACCTATGATATTGCTTTAAAATTACACGGTCAATTTCACCTTTTATCACATTTTCAAAAAAAAAAAAAAAAAAAAAAAACACTTCAAACACCTCTTTGTAAGTTTGTTTGAAATTTAGTATTAAAGGATCAAATTAAAATATTTTTGAATTTTCATATAAACTATCTATATGTATTTATTTATAAGTATATTATAATATATTTTTAGATATATTTATACAATAATCAAAATTATATCACATTGAAAGAAAAAAATAATAAGTATTTATATAAGTAAAATTACTCATTTTTTAAAACTGTAGAAATCATACATAATTCTGTTAAATAAAAGTCTTCATTGCGTGACATACCATAGTGTTATTGAATTATTCAAAGTTTAAAATATAATTATTCTCTCGTGAATAAATAATACGTCTATATGTAATACGATAGATATATTTTAAATACTTATATAATATTGTTAATGCAGTTTTATAGTATATGCAAATTTGTGATGAATAAATAGTAATTATTTTTACTAATAATAATAATTTGTTATTATCGTTATTTAAACTTATATTAGTTAAATTTTTAATGCAAAAATACTAATAACTACTAATATTACTACTACTACTATTACTACTTTTATACTTTTTTAAATTCAGGTAAATACTATAGTTAAGCAATCCATGTACATTTTTTTTTAGTCTATAAAACTGTATTGATAAACAATTAAAATTTAAAAAATAAAAACAGAACTTTTATTTAGACTTCGTATAGGTATTTTGATGACAACTATTTATTATATTCCATGTACCACAAAAAAACGGTTTAGAGTAAATGTATGTAAATTATAAACATTCAATCTTAAGTCCGACAAAACATAGAGCATTTTTATTGTAGTATGTGATTCGCAAATGTAAATCAGAATGATGACATGTTTTATGATAAATAATAAAGTTGGTTCGAATTTGAGTTGGACAAGACATAATATAGTTCATCATCAAATTTGAACATTAAATTTATTTTAAATGTAAGATTCAAACTTTTTAAAATAATTAATTATCAAATTGTGGTCTACTCCCTTATTCAATTTAATGACATCTTCATTCGAATATTTTATCCCTCTACTTAATTTTTCTTGAGAATTCTATGCCCCTTATAATACATTTTATACACCGATAATTCATTTTTTAATCATGATTTATTTTTCATTTCATATAAAATAATTTTTGGGAGACAATATTTTTTATAACTCAAAATACAAATAACATTAAGTCATTTTAAATTTTCTTTAAGCGAAATAGATATTAAATGGAAATGTATTAGTATGTACTATGTATACATATTTCTATAAAAACTTATTTCAAGCTACTTTGGTCACAAAAAAATAACACACTTTATAATAATATATTACGATGGCGGTTTATATAATATACTATATATTACGCACACGAAACGAATCTATAAGTTAAGTAAGTATAGTAAATATTAACTTTTTTACGTGTTGAGTTTACTTTTTTTTCCTATTTATTGACTTATTGTCAACATATTAGTTTATAAAATTACTAGTATTTAAACTCAATGTAGGTAATTGTTACTAATTTATTTTGATTCCCCTCACACATTTATTGTGCCGTTATTCACTTGATTAAGACGAGTTTTAATTTGTAACAAATGACTTAATAATTTATATCAGCAGAAATATTTCAAAATATTCTTAAATAAAAATTGTTTAATTTGTTTTCAGTTTAAATGTCAACTTGATTAGAGTCGTACGATCATTAAATTTTACCCTAACTATTTTGATTCAGGTATACTCATAAGATATATTATAATGTGGTTAATATTAAAAATAATATACAATTTGTACAGCTAACAGGGTAACCATACATCCCGTTTCAAACGGGATTGTTCCTTTTTGATCATAATGTCTCGTTGTCCCGACAAACTCCAAACGGGACGCTTTTTATCCCGTTTTTAAAATATGGTATTATTTTAATCCCGTTATTTCAATATTATTGAATACTTTTTGTAAAAAAAATATGAAACAATTTTAAAAAGAGCAACATATTATAATTATTATTTTATTATTTTAATAAATTGCAACTTAAATATAATTAGAAAAAATAAAAAATATTATATTAATAAAAATTGTTTGTCCCGTTTTTATTTTTATGAAAATGGTCACTCTAAGCTAACATCATATAGTTATACATTATACTACTGATTTATAGTTATAGATTATCATAATAAAGTGTAGAAGAAAAAAGCGGCCTCTAATTCCAGTGTCTATTACACCTTCGATATTATATATCAATTGTAGCATTATTCGTCTACTCATCACAGCCTACCCTATCTTTACTTGACTTCACCCACTCTAACTATCCGCCCATTCATTGAGTCATCTCGTTTTACCTGTTTGTCCTTTGCCCAGAGTCTTCTCCAACCTGTACGGACCGACGTACTGCTGTACGTCTACGGTCGTCGAGTACACGAACTGTTCTTGGTGCATGGTAATCGCGACGGTGTGCTATTTCAATGTTTTTAGTGCAACATTTACGGTAGTCGTGGCTGCAGGACCGAGCTGATCAGAGACCGGTGCGTGCCATCGTCGTCGGTGGGACGCGGACGAGAAGCCACATTCGGAGGAGCATCTCGGGTACGGCGACGGCGGCGGCTGCGTCGTCGGCAGTGTGCTTTAGTGAAGTCCGTGCACATCGGACGTGAAAGATTAGCGGAAACAATACGAGATGTTAAATTACCGTTTTCCTCGGTCCAGTGGCGTGTAATTGTGTCTTCAGAAGTAGAAAAGTTATCAGAAAAATATTATAAATCTTTCGTCAACAATATCGATAATAATAATAATAATAATAATAATAATACGTAATAACAACGACGAATAATAACAATATACGACGGACAAGATATTTTTATTACAGTGATCGCGGAAAACGCGTGTGCGAGTACGACGTTGATCCGACGACGACTGCTGGCGACCGTCCCTTGCGCGATGCAATACACATGGTGCGCGTGCCGAACGTTTTGCCTAACTGCTTTGATATTGCGTTTTAAACCCGGGGAGGGAAACCACGGTATACACAGCGCGTAAGCCGCCTCGAATACATCTGCAACGGGCGGCGCAGCCGGCTATCGATAGCGCGCTCGAGAAAATTATTGACGGACCGCGCGCCACTAGCGTGCGCACGCGATAACGTTATTATTATTGTTTTTGTCGGTATCATTATCTATATATATATATATATATATATATACATATATATTCACGATATTGTAGTCATATTAATAATGTAATACACAAATATATCATTAGGACACGTTGTCGCATTACGCGGTTGACGACCCCCGTCGCTGTTGCCGAAAACTACGGTTACTTTTTTTTATTTCACAGCGATCGCATTGTTTCGAGTATATTATTCATCACGAGACGATCTTCCCACGTTCCACACCCTCGATTTATACAATTTTTATTATAATATCATCAATATTATTGTTGTCAGATAACTTTACCAGATAACTGCACCTCGGGTAAGTAGGTATATATATATATATATATATAACATATGCACGCGAAACGACGTGCTTTTGGTGCGACTTATAAATCTGTTTTATTCAGAGCTGCAGCGAGAATTTTCAAAATTTTCGGAATCCGCCGGACGGCAACGTTGACGCGAAGATCGGAAAAATTCGAAACCGAATCCGACAAACGATCCTCTTTAGTAAATACGAATAGCCGATAGGGTGGAGCGCGCGAAAAATTGTCGAGTCCCCGCGGGAGGAAGACGAAAGCGCGTGCAAAAATATTATATTAAGCTAAAATTTGCAACTTGAAGATGACAGACGACGGATTGGATATAAATAATTTAACAAAAAAAAAACGATAATTCGATAACGATCAATTCGCGAAAGGTATAGAGACATCGGCAATTATAATATGTTATTATAAACATGTGCGTACAAGTCGAAATATATATTTGTACGATCGATCGCTGCGACGGACATCATCATTCCCCGCGGCGAATCGATTATAATATGGAATATATTATAATGGTAAAAGTTGACGGATATGCCTTTGCAATATTATCGCCGTTTTGACGTTTTTTTTTGTTGTTGTTTTTTCTCATCCACGGTTCGAATTTTCCAATCACACTCATCCGTTCACATCCATCCAATCAATGGTTCTGTAAGCCCCAAATATACCCACACGGCGTATTTCGCGGTCGCCGAATGCACCCCACGCACGCACTGCCCCGATAAAGCATAGGTAAACTACCCCATCGTGTACGAGCAATGTACGTTGGTTCGTATGTGTATACGCACGCACACAGGCGGGTGAGTTAGGGGCGCGGTGGGGTGAGAAAAAAAACGCACCGCGTCGGGCGTGTGACGCGTGTGCGTGTGTGCGTGAATATACACACAATCGCGAAAAACGGTATACGAAAACCCGCGGCAAGTATCGATTCGAGAAAACAACGCGATGTTTGGTCGATAGCCTAGCGGCGGCGGCGGCGGCGGCGGACCCTTTTCGCCGAGTAGTGTTGGTAGCGGCGGCGCCGGCATTGCGCATGTCTCCGTTCACCCCCGTTCATGCAGCAGTAACGATACCGCCGCCGCTGCCGCCACCGACGCCAAGTCGTCGTCGTCGTGTCCCTTTTTGAAAACTCCCCGTGAAAAATGATCGTACTCGGCGGCGGTGGCGGCGCCTCTTCGAGGCCCGAAAGTGGCTCCTCGGTTTTCGCTCCGTTTGCACACCGGCAGCGGTGGCGGGTATTGCGTGCACGGTCGGTTGGGTGTGGGTAGAAGAACGGGGTGTAGGTGACGCCGGAGGGGATATCTTGGGCCGTTGTATATAAGGGACGACGACGACAATATATTATTATTCCTTGTTGTGGAATAATGTGCGAGTGCACAATATATCTTATTATAATTTAATAAATTATTTCAAAATGATTGGTACACGCGTCATATTAATATAACATTAAGTACCTACTAAAATGATGAAACGTGCACATAGGAGTGAAGTGAATAAGTCACGGTACCGTCATGTTTATATGAAAGATGTGGATACGATATCCTTATCTTCACTAAACATTCATTTTTAGGCCAACATAACGGAAAGAGAAACGGTTACTCTCATTTGCAAAGAATGGCTTCTAAGGCATAAACAAACTAAAATTTAAACAATAGATAAAAAAGTTGAACGATGTTGCAGTAAACGATGATATCAGCAGAGTTAACTTACAGAACTATGTACTATGCCATATCCATAGTTTTAATATAAATCAAGGTTTTGTAGGTACGCGACATCATGGGTTATTTAAAAATTAATTTAATAGGCGAATTCCTGTAGCTGCAGTTATTTGTCACACGTTCGCGGTAAAAAAAAAAAAGTCCGTGATTGTATTATTGCTCTTCCCTCGTGGTACAGTTCATTAAAAAATCGAGAAAGACACATACCAAATATACCAATGCAACTATGAATAAAATGTGGGTTTGGTTCAATCAAAATCCATTTATTGATACGGCAGTTATATGAATATATTTGCATTTGTTAATTGACAAAAACCACAAAAAACATAGTAAATTATTAAGTCAATTCTTGTTTTAATATATTATGCATAATAATAAATATTGGCAGAGAGCCAGTGGCGTAGCCATGATTTTGGTTTTTTTATTGAGGTTAGGGGGCTGATAATTTATTATATAGGGAAGACTTTGGTATTTACTAGGATCCCATAAGCTTAATATGCTAGGTATGCTGAGTGTATAACATTTTTTAATTTTGTATTAACCTTCATACAAGTAACGATTTTAATAAATGATTACTTTTTACGTAATTCATTCACAAAATGCTGAAATTATTTTAAATTTTCTAAGATTTGGGCGAGAGATATAGGCATATAGCCTTTAATGTGTCTCATTTAATATTTTTCTGTCACTCAATAACATACTTAAACCTTACCATTAAATTCTTAACATTTTATTACCTATTCAAATATTTTCATTAGTGAACTAAAAATAAATTGTACAATATGATCATAATTCATAATAAATATACAAAATATATATACATTTAATAATGTATTTCTATTAATTGAATTTATTATTAGTTTTATGTCTCTATATATCTGCTTCTCAGAAAAATTGATATAAGGTGTGCAGTTTTAGTGTTACATTTTATATGTTTTATTTAAAGAAATTACAGATTGACAAAAAATTTATAATATTATATACAAGTACTATGAAATATAGCAATATAAATTGACGCTATTTTTACGCGATTATATGTTATACCTCCTAAATCCCTACAAAATAATTGGAATATTATTCAGCGCGTCCATTAGTGTTCCGTCGTCTAGATGTCTAGAACAATATTCGTGCATAGATTATATTTTGTACCTATATATATTATATTATTATACAGACGATCGGTCGAAGTTTGTTACAGGAGTCACGCGTGCCTATAGAATATTATCGTCATCGCGTATTATATTATGCCAATAATTTACGTGGGTGCTCGTTGAGATTGTGAAGATGTGCGCGCCGTTTACAATTTCTCCCTGTACGACGAGCGAAAATATTGGAAAACTGCCGCCGCCGGACTTGTATATATTATTTACGATATCTTTATTTATTTGTATCGCTATTATTACTGGTATTTCGTGTTTTTTTATTTTATCGTGTCTTCCTTTGTACGTAGTTGTTTGCTCGCGGGGTCACGCGTACTCACGCCCTCCTCTTAAAAAAACAACAAAACAAAACAATAATAAAACATACGCAAAGAGACGCAAAGCCGAAAAAATTGTAGTTTTTTTTTTTTTTTTATCACCGTTATTGTTGCAGTGTATTTCATTCGAACTGAGCGAGTTACGAATAAACCTAACCAATAAACAATACACGCGTATAATTATATTATATAAATGTCATACCTACACCATATTATTTCGACCTACTGCGATATAGACATGTTGGCTCGTTGATTTTTGTTTAGTATATAATATGTATGCTTATATTATATATTATCATAATACCCAAACTTGCTTTACACGGCGCCGTATACATTATATTTTATAATATGTATATTATTACGAGTACTTTAAATCCTCAATTAAAATTAGTCACATAAAGTGCTAGTATTTGACCGTCAAACATGTATTATATTATTTGTGAATATTATGACAATGTGAGATGTATCACATGCTACATAGTATGATCCACAAAATTCATTTTTGATAAATCCCGGTGGTATAACATTTCTAGTTTGGGATAATATTTAAGCAATCACGCGGTAGTCGCTATAAAAACATTAAATTATTTTATATGTATGTATATAATATATATCTACGTTGTTTTTTTGACCATAGTGTAAGGTGTTATAGATAAAAAATATTTATAATTATCATATAAATCGTAGGTAAACAGTAAGTATACAAGTTAACAGTTATTGCATTTTTTTATGGATGTTTTATGTAATTTAAAAGTCAAGTAGTTATATTAATAATTTACACTTTTGTAATAGTACTAATGTTTTTACTAGTTTTTAGAACTATGAATTATATATTGTTGTAATTTAATATGTTATTATATTATAAGACTTATATGTAACTTAAGTACTGATAAGTAATATGAGTGTCAACTTGACCATGATCGAATAATTCTAGTCGTGATAGTATATTTAATGGCCAATATTTTATTTATCTATTTATGAACCGATTGTATATTATTACGTTATATTCTTAAAAAATTATGATTATAATTTTGTTAAAAATGCATAATTAGATATATTTTAATTTTTAATTAAATTTTATCTAGACAAAAAATAGAATATTATATTTCTTATTTTTATTCATATCAAATTAATGAACCTAACCTACCATCAATAATAAAAATTATTCTTGTACTACATAATTGAGTTTATTTTTTGAATACAAATCCTTATTACTAATTGTTATTGTATTAAAACATGCAATATTATTTGGCAAGTTACCTAACGTTCAAAAATGCATATTGCACCACAAATTAACTTCTAATTAACCTAGAAATTGATGGAA